TCAGTGATTTGTTGCTTTTGCAAAGACAATGATTTACGTCACAATTAAGGAATTAACGGGGATTTCTTATTATACAAGATAATTCTTCAGGAAGTTAACCGAGTTATTAGAATCAAGATTTTTTTGTACAAATAACTATCAACAAATATTTGTACAAATTATACGACTAACGTAACATTCTACGCTATTTCTTTTATCTTCTTCGTTTTCATAATATTTGCAGACAAGCGCCACTGTTTGTGTAATTTACGTGGAAATTAATTAAGTGCTTACTCGTCAGCATGATGTAAAAGTACCGCGTTAAAATAAGCCATTCGCATACGTGATTTTACCAGTCGATGCTCATCGATGGCGCGTTATCTGGACAGCAAGTTGATACGTAGGAGCACACTTTGATAAACGCCGCATCAAAGCATTTTACGTCAAGTGTAAATCGACATTTTCATCGAGCGCGCGTGCTATGGACATCAGCTTTTACCATAAAAAATTTGCACATATATGTATATATATAAAAAATGACCGATACATTGATAAAGGCCACGTGAAATTGCGTGAAAGAGAAATTCGCGCGGCAGCACTCTTGCCTCGTTATTGTCTCACGAGAGCTTCCCGGATAAAACGGCGCTCGCTGATAACGAGGCGCGCGATTGTGAATTATTGTCGAGGTAACGCTTTTTGAAGCGCACATATTTCACGAACGCCGATGTAATTACGATCGACTTAACTGATATATCTAACGTCGTTTCTCGCACCCCGATAGCGTAATCTGATACGTATCGTTCCACGACGTATTAGCTCCCGCGCGAAAATATATCGGCGTATCGAGCCGGTGTGAAAGGAATCTCGATAACCACAAGAACACCAGCGATATTAAGTAGTTTTCAGACGTTCCGGATATCTCGAAGTTTCAAAAGCTACCGAACTCTACCAAAATCAATATATAGATATACTCGTTTCCCGCAGTAGAGATAGTTTGCTTTCGCATTAACGAATTCGGAGATTCAAATCTCTTCCGTTTCTCGTATATTAAAATCTGAATAATTTACAAACTCGAAAATATCTACATGTGGAAAATCGGATAGTTTTAAAAATTCTTTTATGAGTATCACATCAAATTGTAGAAATATAACAAAGAGTATTTCTTTCAGTTAATAATACACTGTTTATCAAAAAAAATTGATGCACTTCAAAGCGAGCCATTCAATTGAATGAAATTTTACATGTTATATTGAAGAGAAAATCAAAATATTTTAATATATAATGACAATATTACAGTACAATTATTTATTTAAGAAAATCTATGTAACAGATTTTTGTTATATATTTTGTAAACCCAAATGTTACGAATCTAGAATTATTTTATCGATTTTTTCTTATAAACAATGTATTTTTGCATCCGCTTTTGATTCAGATTAAAATAGGAACGTTTTCCGTTTCCCGCACAATAATAACGGATCCAGTAAACAAATCTATTTAGAAAGCCAGGATGGAAGTTTCGTTTAATTTTACCAATTTCTGGATTATTAATTAGACAAGAAAACCAAACCGAGTTGATCACGTACAAGAGAAAAAAAACAAAGAAAAAAAAAACAAAGAGAAAGAAAGATTAGTTTCAATAAGTATTTTACTCACCTTTATAATTTCATAAAAGGAAGAATCGCTAACGTCACTGCCGGTCGCCAAGATTTCTATCTTCGTTTTCACCTCCATTTACGATTCTCGCACAGTTGTCGGGCTGAGAACCGATGGTCACATGACCTGAAAATAAGTTGAAAGCGTTGTAAACCATGCAGTAGGTTTTCAGGCTGCGATATACGACAACCAGGTTAATGGAGTGCTTTGATCCTTTAACCCTTGACGCACTCAGCGCAATGCGTTATCGAAAACGCAATCCAAAGATCACGCGTTTGACGATGTTATGGAATGTTTGCCATCCATCATATAATCTTTCAGTAAGAAATGATGATAGACCAAAAAATATAGGTAATAATTGCATTATAATTCAAATTGTAATTTTTATAATATTGCTAATAAAAAAAGTTGCGGAAAATTAAGCCTGAAATTTAATGTAACATAATAATGAAATTTTATCACTATTCTTAAGTATCGTTCTGTATTTATATAATATTAGATAATATTGGAACAGGTGTGCTCAACATTCTCTGTATTATTTATAAAAATATAAAGATGCCTTACAAGTTTCTAAAACTTTTCTTCATAATTTTATGATAGTTCTAATAATGCTTTTGTTAATTTTTATTAATTATTTTTAGTAATATTAATTTCTTTTATAGCGAAGAAAAAAATATAGTATGAAACATTTTCGTAATTGTTTTATCTAAATGAATAATTTTATTTCAATTAATATATGGTGTCTTAACTATATGAGTGTCGGAGGCAGCGATGAGGAAACGTTCAAACGGATACAGCAACACATGCAAGCGGTTCGGAGGTATTCTAGCGAAAGCAAGACATAACTAACTTCGAAACTACGCGACTAGCGCAGTCGTAATCCTCTCGAATCCTTGATTTCCACGATCTAGGCTTTTGCAGCTATACGCATCACTGATTTAGCATTTGGGCTATAATACTTTCGACAAAATCGTGCATACTTTGATACGTCCTCATTGTTTGCGCATTTAATTGAGTTTTATATTCAACATTTATATTTTATTTTTGAGATTCAAATAGCTTGTATATTTAAAGTTTAGTTTACTTTAAAGGAAAATTCAATACATTTTAATTTAATTCGTTTTGAAGTCATTTCTTAACAATAATTTTATTTATATTTTTGAAAAAGCTTGGAAATCTATTCTCTATTTATATGATAAATTATGCAAATTTTTTATTACCTATTATTAACTGTTATTATTAATTAGGTTAAAAAACATGTAATATTTTCAACTACTCTTCTTATGCGATAACATAAATCAAATCTTTTTTAAACACTTTACTTTATGATATTTTTGTAAATTTTATATATTTTTTAAAACGTTTTTATAAAACTAATTTAAAAAAATAAAATAAAATTTTATATAAATTTAGTAGAAAGTTTATTGTTAAATAAAATTGCAAAGATTGCTATTATTGCAACATCAATAATTGTAGAACGCTGAAAACCAAAGCAAAATGTATCATATGCTGTTAACACTGTCGATATGTGCTATTCAAAATCAACTGTAGATAAATTTTGGTTAGTAATTTTCGGAATGTAAAATAAATTTTTTATTATATAAAATAACATTAATTAATCTAGTGGATATGCATTGCATTTGCACGATTCGCTGATACACATCAATTTTTCAGAATCTAATTATTCAACAAACCGACATTATGTTCTGAGGGTTAAAGAGACACGATATACTCTTGGATGTTAACATTCCTGAGTATTTTCACGCGTAAATTTTTCCCTTATCAACTGATGTATGTGTCACTCACTGCGTATAACGCGCCTTGCACTCGTTGCAAGAATTAATAGTCGGTAAAAGACACAACTTCCATAGCGCAATAATATGTATAAATTGGCTCAGAACATTAAAAAATATATTAAATACAAATACAAAATATTTATTTTTTGGTTAGTTATACAACTTAAATAAATAAAAAAAATAATTATTAGAACGCTATTATTACATTTTTACGTTGTAAGAATGTGACGGGATAATTTTCAATAAAATAAATGCATCACGTATAATATTATAGCCGCGCGCGCGCGCGAATGCAATCTTACATAATATTTTATTATTATATTCTTTTATTAGAAAAAAATTTTATTCTAGCATATAAAACATAACATTTGATATCATTTATTCAAGATAAAAAAATTTTGACATATACTATTTCAAAAAAATTTGTTTAACATTTAATATATTAAAATGTAATTTGCTTATCACACAGACACTCTCTATGTCTACTAACGATTGCTACTACTAACTAAACATAAGATAAAAAATTTATAAAATTTTCGTTTCCATTGTCATGTCTCTTTCTACTTAGCTAGCAATGTTTATTTAAGCTGATAATAGAAGCGTAATTCAGTGACATTCTATAGTAAGTAAAGTAGAAAACATTTTTTTTTTGTCTTTTTTCAGCTTTTGTAATTTTAAATTTCTAGTCATTTGTATCAGTTTTCTTTCCAACATGAGCGTGAAAATCAGATTTTTTTTCTTCAAAAATTTGAATCGTTAGAATGATATATGTCTTTTGAACAAACTTGTTTATTATGAAAATAAAACTATATCTGGAGACATTGTAGAAATTTAGACATAAAAACTACCTGATTAACACAATACTATCCATATGGCAAATACAATAAATCATGTGTAAAAACAGCAGTTTTTTCTAGATCCTAATTTCTATTGTTAGGATTAGAAAGTTCGAAGGCTCAGGTAGCGCAACGATCGTCCCTTTCGCTGCAAGAGAACGGCTCAGCGTGTTCAGTTTCTGGCAGCTCACTTTGCTAACAACATCTGCAAAACGCGTCATCTCAACCGCGAAAATAAGCCAACTTGAAAACGTATAAGTTTAAAGTTCAAGTGAACTATCTGTGTTACCAAGCCGTCGATTAAAGATTCGTTCATATTAGACGTGATACATCTCCAAGTGTGAAAAATATTCTTCATTGAGATTTCTGTGAAACGAAGTGCGTCACGTTTTTAACCAATATTCGCAGTCGGATACATTAGCAGTATCGGTATGTCCGTTTTCACAACCAACATAATTTATAAAACGTTATTCATCGATTCTTTTTGATTTTCCAATAAAGTAATTAACATCATAAAATTAATTTTGTGAATAAAAAATATATGTTCAGTTATTTATTATTTAAAAAAAATATACACTGTAATTTCTTAGAATCAATTACAGCATGTCGCAAAGTAACAAAACACGCTTTGTGCCTAATGTGAATAAACCTTCATTAAGTCTTATCATATTATCAAATAGCAGCTGTTAACCAGCGATAAACTTATCTGAATATAATCCTGTTCGTTATAAACCACTGTGTGCGTGTCTTTACTTCAGTTTGACTCAAGCTTCCTTCAGGCAAGCTACGTCAGCTCTATCGTAGGTAAATCTATCACTGCATAATTGCATGTGCTTGAAAGTAGATATTTTTGCATACTCTAAGAAAATACATCGCTAAGCATTCCAAGCGACGCATAAGAATAATCTAAAGAATGTATTTGAACATGTGTTTTAAATGCTTATATTAACATTCCAATAAAATTATTGATGAGTTAAATAAATCGTAATAAATAAATTTTGTTTTAGTAGATTATATTTATCTATTGCTCATTTTTTACTTTGAATGGAAAAATTATATATATATATATTTCTTTTTTTATTTATTCAAAAAATTGAATTAAATCGAAATGGCAAAGTAGAAAAAAATATACTCAAAAAATCTTTGACATGTTTAAAATTGTATTACATGTACTGTTTATTTTCGAGACTAATGTATTTAATGCATTTTTTAATCTAAAAATTACGATATTTTATGTAACGTTATGAGTTTTTTACATTTTAACATTTTGTTACTTTTTTGCGTTTAATTTTTATAAAAACGTTATTAGCTGTTATAAAAATATTTGTTATTATTATAAAAATATAACATTGCATGTTATTATGACATATTATTACAGAATTATATAAAAACTAACAAAATTACTGTGAGTTTAAATAATAACACATTATCATTGTCTTCAGAACATTTTTTCATATAATTTTTTATATACCTTATGTGTAAATTTTTATATACTTTATGTGTTTATATACTTATGTGTAAATATTTTACGTGATCACCGATGGCTTACGCTGGCGTATTTATTATTTGTGCTCAAAACGTATAAATTATAATAAATTTAAGATTAATGTATTATTAAAATAGTGTAGAACAAAAGAAATAAGTTATGAAATGTTTTATAATAATGTGTTTGTTTATATAAAATATTAAACAGCCTGAATGGAAAGTCCAGCGTGGGCCATCCGTGGTATACGAAACGTGTTAAGTAATTTAACGTGATTATAGAAAAATTTCTGCATCTCATGATAATATTTTACGCAACAATTGTAAAATGCATGATAAAAGTTCATCACGCGCACTTGGAAGATTAAATTTATCAAGAATTATGACATGTTTCTCCTCTCTGGAAGATTGTAGTGCAATATTAATAGTCTTGCATTTTTCTCATCAATTTTCACGCTTATTCGCATTTTATTGCATTTGTCAAGAATTACTGCAAATTACAAAGATTTTAAGTGATTTGTTTTGTCACTAATTAATAATTTTCTTTGTGACAAATTGAATGAGCTTATTACATAAGACTGGTTATTCTAAAATGTTTACCGCATCTGTTTTCATTATCACTCGTGCACGTGTTGTTGCTTCGTCAGATTATCGGATATCCGAAGAACACAGACTGTCTCAACATACAATTGCGCGGGATAAAATGTACTGATGCTGCATTAATATTCTTTACTGCTGAATTATACGACACACACTTATCTGCTTCTTATATGTATCAAGTACCGTTTCTACGAGTTGTTTTTATTTGGAATCACTCTTAATTCATTCATTTAAATTGTTTGCACTACTTGTAAATACTGCTGCGACTTCAAGCTTTATCCGCAAATATCGATTTTATTTCTTTTTGAAAATAATTTTAACGCACAATTAATGTGCATTTATTGTAATAATAATAACAAAGATAATGAAAACGTGTGTGTTGTGTGTGTGTGCGTAGTGCTTCATTTAACTTTATTTTTATATTATTCTAAAATTTTTCTCACAGAGCATTACGCGGAGTATACTTTGGTAAATAATCGGACTAAACTATCAAAAACCCAGAATGAATGTTATGCAATCAGGATGGTTCAGCGAAGTGAACGATTATCTCTGGCCTGGCGTTGCACTTTCATTAGAAGTAGAAAAGGTCCTGCATCATGAATGCTCTAAGTATCAAGATATCTTGGTAATAAAAACGTAGGTATCTTTTTAATGCAGCGCGACATTGTTGAACGTATCATAGTTTTTAATATTAAATGTAAAAGTGTGGCATTTACAGAAAATCACACGGCAAGGCTTTGATACTCGACAACGTGATACAATGCACGGAAAAAGATGAATACGCCTATCATGAAATGATATCGTATTTGCCGCTTTGCAGTCATCCGAATCCTAAGGACGTATGTGCAACAATTGACGCATTTTTAGATTTGTCATGATTATATATTAGCTTTTAAACTTACTGAGATTTATCCAGATTTTTTAAGTTTATATCGCGCAGTATAAAGAAATATTAAAGACAAAATTATGATATCAAGGCTCTTACGATAAATATCACACATTATTGTGATTACAATCTTAAATTTCCAAATATATGTACGGACAACCAACATTGGCTCATTTGCCCTTCATTTTGTGAAATATTAAAAAACTTCTTTCTCAATGTAAAACTTGTATAATTCTGATTCTCATTAAATTAATTGGCGCTAAAATAAAGTTCTTTATTATTAATTATATGTAATAATATAGTATAATAATTAGCATCATTAATGCTCTCTTTTCAAATTTATAAACAAGTGTTGTGTTAAAAAAAAATTAGAGTTTTTTGAAAAATATTTTATTTTTCGACATAGGTTTTGATAATTGGAGGTGGCGATGGTGGAGCTGCTCGAGAGGTCGCAAAACATCCGGATGTGGAGCGTGTCACGTTGGTGGACATTGATAACAGAGTAATTGAAATATGTAAGGACTATTTGCCTCGTTTGAGCTTGGGTCTTAACAATCCTAAAGTAAGCATTCACGCTTGTGACGGCTTGCAATACCTGAAGGATCACCACGGAAAATTCGATGTCATTATTACTGACAGTTGTGATCCCGTAGGCAAGTAATCGCTCAAATCTGTATGGTTTTTGAGATTTTAATGAACGAATATTATCACACTTCTTATATAGAACAATACACAAAAATAATTTATTTTTCAACAAAATGCTTTATAAAACATATACTAATAATTTTGTAATGTTTTAGGTTTGTAATTTAACAGGTTTTAATTTTGTAATGTTTTAGGTCCCGCCGAGCATCTTTTCGAACAACCGTATTACGAACTATTGAAAGCCGCGTTAAAACCTGGCGGAATCATTGCCAGCCAGGCTGGCACAGTGTGGGAGAGCATAGAACAAGTTAAAAACACATTTGAGCTTTGTAAAAATACATTTCCCGTTGCTGCCTACGCAGTAACAGCTGTACCGACGTATCCCACGGGACAAATTGGTTTCGTCATGGGAAGCTTAGATGACGTTAGTATTAGTATATAATATGATTTCTAACGACATATATAACAAAAAATAACAAACTTTTTCTATTTTTATATATTCTTTTTATTCTGAACTATTTTAAAGTAAACTTTTACTTAAAAAATTTTATTCTACATATTAATATAATGTGGTTGATTGAAAGAATATTACTCATATTTATTATTTTTCATATTTTTGCACTGCTAATTTTGAAAATTTGTTTATTAATCAAAGTGTTATAGTTATATAACGGCAGATAGTTTTTATTTTTATAAATGAATTTTCCTAGAATAAAACTCTATAAACCTTTGAATCTTTCCTTTCAGAAAACAAATTTTACAGAACCGATTAGAATATTCAGTGACGATGATCTCGATGAGATGGAAATGAAGTACTACAATGATAAAATACATCGGGCTGCTTTTGTCTTACCCAGATTTGTAGAAATGAAATTAGTCAAGTAATAAAAAAACTAAACGATATTCACTGATTTTGACTTAATTGCAACGATTGATGTAAAACTTGTTAACTCTGTAATTTTCTAATGTTTGTAATT